ATTGACGTGTCGAAATTTTTTAAAAATCAATGATTTTTTCCACTTGTAACTAAAAGGACCATGTTACAAGATAATTATTTTGTGGGTTGAGATCACTACTATTGTCTTCTCCGAAGTTTTAATTCACCATCAGATAAGTAACTATTAACATTTATCGAAGGTCGGTCTTATTCCTTTTAAAATTTTGTGTGTTATGCTAAGATAGATGTGTTCAATGGCGGAGCCAGTATCCGGCGAGCACCGACGACAACGCATGCTGGTTTCGTCGGCGGTAAATTTTTGTACGTTTCATTTTCCTCTGAAAAAAAATAGACAAAAGACCCATCATGTCAATTGCCATTCTTGAATTTAATTTTTTCTTACCAAATGTAGTTGAACAAATGAAATTGAACTCGAAGATTTCTTCCTAGTTCCTTCAATCTTGCTCGGTTGCTCATTCTTCTATCGTTTTCTTCTCTTTCTTTTTCAATCAATTTTTTTTTCCAATTCTTCTCTGATTTTCTTTTCTTCCTTCTTATTTTCTCTTTCTCCCGCATTGGCTCTCTGGATAGTTCTAAAATGGTGAGGCAATGTATTGACCAAAAAACCAATCATGGTGCGCCCCACAACCTTCCTTCCAATACCCCATACATTTTTATAATCGCAAGATTGGAAATTGAAAATTGTTCTTGTTAACTTGGGTTCTATTTGTTTATATTTTCATATGGTCGTTGACGGTGAACGTTCAACGACTCACCTCAGATTCTAGATCCGCCACTGAATGTGTTGATATATTAACATGAATAAGATAATGAACGTGAAATAGATTGAAAATAGATGAGGAAAATGACGATTTTTATGATCACAACTTTTTTTCTTGAGAGACCTACATTCACAAAAGTGGAGCAAATTAAACTAGTGGAGGTAGATAACAGAAGACACGTTGTGTTGTTATTATCAATATATATCTCAATAAAATTTTCAATTAATTGATTGTAGCGAAAAAAAAAAAAAATTCGAAAAGTTGAGTTCAAATTTAGTGAAAGTAAACTCAGGACCTGTTGTCCGTTGATGCATATTTTTTATAATGGATTTTATGAAAAAAATAATATTTTTGAAGAATGTTGTTGACCCCAAAAATAGTATCAAAGATGTGGCCAACAGATATCAAAAGCTTCTCGCGTCCACGTAGGTCGGATCTGATAAAGAAAAAAAGTGGGGGTCGATTTTGTATAGAATGATAGGAATGTATGCGGCAACAATATTGGATTGAGAGTCTAAACTTGCATTAACCCTAAATGGAACTAAGTGTGGGCTTTTATACTTGCGTAGGAGGAACAAGGTCTATTGGATGATAGGGCATGTGGTTTCATCAGATTGACTAGCCCTTGCTGCATGCATCAATCAATCAGTCAATCAGGGTATTAAATGCTAAGACTTCTTGCATGTCTACAAGCCCTAACTTGTGCAAATTGGATTTGATCGTGTAGATGTATAGAGACGGTTTTGACTGTGAGTTGTCTTGTCAATCACTTCACCACGAGATCGGTTAAAGATCTCCTTGTCGCTTCGCCCGAACTGGCTCCTACGCGGGGTCCGTTCAAATGGGGTGGGCCAAGTTTTGGTTCATATGAGTGGCTACCTTCTTGCCTATAACATGGTCGTCTATGCTGCCACGTAAGCTAGGGCCCTCGAATTCGTCACGTAGGGAGCAATTATTTATATGAGTAACAAATGTGGTTGAAAAGTAGGTTAGAGTTATAAACCCACATGTAAAATCATTTCATTCAGAGAATTTGTGATTGAAAATTTGTGGATAAAATGATAAGAAAAAGTTTAGAGAGTGGGGATACGCAAGGTTTTGTGTGACTAGATCAAGGTCACAAGTTGTTCCCTCATATGGGGTCGTAGGAACACATTTTAAGTGAACTAACACAACTAAAATGTTCAATAAAATACATACAATTTCATATGGAGAGTACAAATGTGCCTCTAGACGAGTTTAAGGGACGACATTTTAGGTAACATGACATAACTCAGTCATTGGAATTGCATGTAATAGTCTCTAGATCCTCGATACATGTAGTTTTATATCGAGTGAATGGTATGTAATAGTCTCTAGACATAATTATGAAAACACATTTTGGGTAAAATAGATTACACCACTGAAATCGGACTAGTTAGGCAGAACACAATTTTAAGAAAATCGGCCAAAAAAGTATCTTTTGATTTTTATTTATTTTACTATTTTAAAATTCACTGGGTGGATATTGATTTGGTCATCGACCATTTTTCTTTTTCGAATTTATGTCTAGACTGATTTTTAAAACATGATTTTAATTTAAGCATATCCATTAGTGTTCTCATTCCGACTATATTATATGCCAGTGATCATATCCAAATTCAAGTCATAGGCTGCAATTTTTCACCTTTTGAGTTTTTCACTGTCTTCCAAATAGTCATATCAACGAGCCACGTTGAGTCGAACCACGAGCCGAAACTCGAAGCTCGATTTGAGCAAAAAATGTTTGAACTTTTTTCGACCCGAGCTGACTCGTTTTTTTTTTCTTTCTTTCTTGTCAAAGCTGCCGCAATGTGCAAGCTTATTATTATTTTTTTTTTTTCCTCCATGCTACAACTGTTGTTTTCAAATTTTTTTAACGGGCTCGGCTCATCCAAGCCAAATATAGCCCGTGACATGGGGCCGGCTTGAGCCTAGGCTCGATGATTCAGAGCCTCGAGTCG